CTAAAATCGTATGACAATTATGTTTCAGGCATGGGAAGTGTGGCTAGAAGGAGATGGACTAAGTCTATTGGACCCAACATTGAAAGGCATGTGTTCCAGAGAGCAAGTTCTGAGGTGCATAAATGTGGCGTTGCTCTGCGTTGAGGACAACCAATTGGACCGGCCATTGATGTCTGATGTTGTGTCTATGTTAGCAAGTGAGGGTATGAAATTACCGGCGCCTAAACAGCCAACATTCCGCCTTCGAAGAAAGATGGCCAGGGCAAATAGTCCTAGTGAAGGTGCCGTTGAGAATTGTTCACTTAACACTCTAACTGTATCAGTTATGGAGGGAAGATGATGTTAATATAAAAAATGAGTAAATTGATTTAAAAAATATAAATTGTTGTATTTATTTGAAAAGAATAAATAAAGATAGTGTAAAAATTACGGACTTGCTAACGGTGGTGTACGATGGATGCTAAGGGAGTACTGTATTTCATAATGTATTTGACGTTGTACATGTCCGAATTCAAATCTCTATATAGAATATGATGAGTAGTGAGTATAAGAAACCTTTTTCTTACTGAATGTAGAAAAAATATTATTTAAAATAGTTCTATCTTTTTGTGATCTTTAAGAAACAATAACACTGCCTTCTGGCATATGTTCATTGCATCTCAAAATGAATTTAATGTTGTGAACTTTACCTTACGACTAAATATAGTTTTGTGTAAATTATTTTTTGTTTTGACTTTTGAGAGTAAAGGTATAGAAATTTGACCAAAGTAAAACATTGAAACGAGTAGGGTTTGGAAAATGTCAGATGGTAGGTCGTGGCAAATTATATGGTACATCCAGTTGTACCTTCCTTTAGGTAGATCCTGGTATTTTTGTAAATTTTGCAAATTTTTTATCCAATGCCCAGAACATATGTATGATAACTATTATATATGACAATGAGTACCAGCAGATTTGAAAAGGAGTACCAGCACTTATGAAAATTCTCATATTCTTATTCAATACAAACATGAATAAACCTGGGTTTTAAATTCTCCATGTTCAGATAGTATAAATGAGTAGGAACGAATCGAATAGAGGAAGAAGTTGATGATGGTACTGAACTTTTTAATTGTGAAAAAATTGAACAATACTTTATTTCAGAATGAACACTTCCTTATTTGAAAATGAGCATTGTTTTTTAATAATGAACACTACGCTATTTATTATAATTATGTTAGACAAATGTGTAAAAATGAGTACTTCTTTATTTTAAAATGAGTATTACCTTTGCCAGAATGAGTACTACGTATTTCGAAATGAATGTTTATATTTGTACGAGAATGAGTACTACTTTATTTCAAAATGAGTACTACCGAGATCTACCTATTTCTAGGTACATCCGGATGTACCATATACCAACTCGTAGGTCGTAGGAAGTAGATGAAGTAGGTTGGATCAAATTTAAGAAAAGTTAGAGCATTTATGCCCATTTAGGCCTATCTAAATTGGAAGAACCCTATCTAATTAAGCTAACTTTTAGCTTTTAGTTCAACTTTTTTTAGTAAAATATTTTTAATTGCATGTCTCTTGAAATAGCTTCTCTATTTTACAGCATTTATTAAAAAAGTTTTACATTAAATAAATGTTGAAATAATATTGGAGGGCATTGTCCCTCAACCCCTACAAACGGTACCCCAAGTATCTGATTTTTTGATAGTGAAGAACAAGCACAATTATCATAGTGTATATATTCGATATATTGCAAAATAAACGCCGTGTATATTAAAGGACATCTAGAACATAAAAATGGAGGAATCGGATTGTATATTATCAAACGAAAAAAAAGCAACCCTGTTTATTATTGAAAAATCTTCCTAAAATAAAAATAAAAGTTAAGTAAAATACCAAAATAAAATTCACCATGTTTTTTATTTTATTTTTTTTAATAAAAAACTGGTTATTGTAGCTGTATGCCTCATTTCTAGAAAATGTAAGAAAAAAAGAAACTTCCTAATTAAAAACGTGACAGCAATTGAAGCTATGGTCCTGTACAACTGTAATGATATCTCAATTTCTCTTAGGTCCCGTTTGGTACATGGAATTCAAACTATGGAATTGGAATTGGAGATTTCAATTCCAATTCTGGTGTTTGGTAACACAAAAATTATGTGGATTTGGAATTGATAGTGCAAAAAATGAATTGAAATTGACAGAATTCAATTCTATGGAATTGAATCCCATGAAATTTCAATTCCAATTCAATTCCAAATTCATCAATTCCTTATATCAAACGGATCCTTATAAGGTTCCGTGTGGTACACATAATTCAAATTATGAAATTAAAAATTAGAGAGAATAATTTCAATTATGCTGTTTGATAGCACAAAAAATATACTCGGTATGGATTTAAAATTGGTAGTGCCAAACCGATCCTAAATGAAATTTATAAAAACTTACATTATCACTCTCAATTTGACAACAATTTACATATTTTTATGATATTGTCGCCCGCCACGTCACTTGTTTAATGACGCACCTTTTATAAGGATTCTTATTTTATGATGTGGCATGTAAATATAATTTGGCATCTCAAGATAAAACCTTTTGTAACGAGTGCAAAAAATAAAATGCAACTGAAGTGTTTGGGTATCAAAAATATCATTTCCTTTTTTTGGTTTTTATATTACTCCCTCCGCCCCAAATTATAATGCCTGTTTACTATTCACAGGGTCAAACTTTATTCACTTTCTTTCTCTATTTTCGTTAGCAATTTGATAAACTAAAATATTCTTGTCACTACTAGTTTTGTAGATCTTTTGATGTAGTTTTTTAATATGTAATTTTTATTTTTTAATTCTATACCATTTGTCATATAAAATGGTTTGAAAATAATTTCAGTCAAACATCGTAAACCGAAACAGGCGTTATAAAATGGGACGGAGGTAGTACCACTAAACTTTTTAGTATGTCACTCCTACAATTTTTAAGTGATCATGGCAGGTATACATAGAGAACTTTTATAATGTTACATACCGAATTTTTACTCCAAAGTTTTTATGTAAAAAATGCCACTAATTATTTTTCTCAAACGTATCACTTCTTTTTTGTTCTACCAAAAAATTTACCCACTAAATAAGAATCTAAATCAAGACTACATTTTTTAATGCAAATTATATGCTAGAACGGGATATATCATATATCATAACAAACTTATAATTAAAAAATATTTCAAATGAATACTACCTTGGTTCAAAATGAACATTTGTTTGATAAAGGTGAAATTTAACTAAAATATTAAAATAAGACATACCTAAACATGTACATAGTACACATACGAGTAGAGAAACAAACAGGTATGAAAGACTAAAAGCTAATGCTATTACTTGGTTGTGCATTAGTAATACACACTGTTATCCTTCTAATTATAAGAGCAAATTGAACTCATTTGCATTTTTATCCTAAGCCAAATGCTATTATGCAAGTATTTAAAGCACCCACCATTTCTTAATAGTCATTGTAAGATCTATTTAAAGCTCTCTCTTTTTTTTTGCAAATAAGAGAAAACATTCACTGGTCCAACAATTGCAACAAAATGAAGAACATAAAGAAAGACAAGGGAGATGTTCAGACTAAGATCTACAGTGTTCTCTCTCATACTGACCGAAAACTAGCTGCAAAAGAAACGAGGTTGCATCCGTATCCGTCTTGGTGTAAGCAGTAAAGCATCCCCACACTACAAGAATTTGTCTGGTCTGCAGCGGATATCTGCTACGGACCAATTTCCGTAGCAGATCTGCAACGAATCAGCGACGGAAATATATTTCTGAAATGGGTCGGATGAAGGGATTCAGCATGGATCGATTTTTCTATTGATCGAGAAAGCCCCATTCTAAGATTCAGATGACTAATTGGTTGGGAATCATGAATTATCACGTCTTGACGGAAATAACGTCTCCTATTGCAAATTCAAGTTGGTCAAATTTTGACCTGGTTATCGGCGACGGACGCTTCATGCCATCGCAGATCCGTCGCAAGCAATTACTAAAACATATCGAGTCCCAGCCATTCGTTTGTCATTATACCCTAATCCCAATTCTCTCTCCGTCAGCCGTCTTCGAACGCTAGCCCTCCCACACCCGTCGACGTCCTCGCCAGCCACGCCGCCGACGCACCCCCTCGCCAGCTCCTCGCCGCCGACGCACGCCCTCGCCAGCCAAGCCGGACCCTACAGCCGCTCCAGCCACGTCGTTCCCCAGCCGCGGCGTCCACTAGCTGTCGCCACCCCTCGTCTCCGCCGCTAGTACTCCACCGCCAGCCGTCTCTCTTCACCCGCCGGACCTCCTCGCAGTGAACTTGGAGGTATTTTTGTGTAATTTTATACAATTTATTATTATTGTAATTTTTGGTGAAATTGAATTTGTTTGTGTGAAATTGAGTGCTTTTTTGGTGAAATAAATTCGTAGCAGATCTGCAACGAATCCGCGACGGAATTGTATACCTCGAAAAAAAACATAATCTGCGACAGATATATATTTTCCGTCGCAAATAAGCAACGGTTTATTGGGTACCGTCGCAAATATAAGGTGGTCAAAATTTGACCTTAAAATCTGCGACGGAACCTTACCCCTGTCGCAGATCCGTCGCAGGTTTAAAGTAAAAAACGAGAGTCAAAATTTTCCAGCCATTCGTTCTTCACTTGAACCCTATCCCGATTCTCTCTCCCCCTCCGCCGTCCTGCGACTGCCACCCCCTACGCCAGCCTTCAACGACGGTCCCCCACCTCTCCGCCGACGAGCATCCTCGCCAGCCACGCCGGACCCTCCACCTATCGTCCCGCCCAGCCGCGCGACCTCCCCAGCGGCGCCAGCATCGCCATCCGCTTTGGCCTCACCAGCGGCGCCAGCGTTTGTCCTCCCCAGCGGCGCCAGCCGTCTCTCTTCCGGCGCCGACCTCCTCTTCCTCTTTGAGGTGATGTTATTTTTGTGGCAGATCCGTCGCAAAATAGAAATCTGCCACGGAAAATTAGATTCTGCCACGAAATTTTTCCGTTGCAGAAGAGGAATTTTCTTGTAGTGCCATCTGTAGTCGACTACAGATTAAAGAACAAAAAATGCAACAAATTATCAGTGAAGATATTGAATATATGATGCATTCATTCAAAGGGTGCATTTTTTTTTCATTCTTATTGAGACAATGAATGGTAGAGTGTTATCATTTTAAACATTATTCAAAAGTACACTCTCTAGTGAATAAGACTACAAGTGTTACTCTGAAGGTAGAGGGTGCAATTGCAAAGATAAATGAAAGGATACAATGGGCAAAGAGAAATGTTTAGGAAATACATATGTGCTTTAGAACATGCATAGTAGCACTTGGGAACATAGGCAACTCAGATAACTCTAGAGGTGTATACAAGAAATAAAATTGCCAACAAATGTTTTCAGCAGATGCTTGAAAACGAAACTAACAAGGTATAATTGTTCAAGCTATGGTTGCATCTATTACTAGAAAAATATATAACAACATCAACAACAACCAAGTCTTCGTTGTAATTCAAAGGGATTGGCTACATGAATAAATATGAAATGATTTGAAATCCAGATTTCCACAGATAACCATCAATTAATCTTGAATTCATAACAAAAAATAGAGAAGGCGCCTCAATGTCATTGCGAGAGCCTACGATTTTGAGCATGATTTAAATATCAGGCACCTCAAAGGAGTCAAAGCACAATGTGAGAATCCTTCATCAAAGGGAAACCCCAAACATGAAATAGGAAAATGAAATCACTTAATGGCTCAAACATTTTTGTCACTCTGATGTAGATAGGTCTTTCATTCATTGCAATCTTTCAAAAATACAAAAGTGTTTAGCTATGGAGAGGGACTTGGATCTGTTAGAAAAACATGTCAATTCTAAATAGTAACCTATAAAAGGACAATGTAAGAATAAAACAAGTAACCAAGAAAAAAAATAAGAACACACCATTGAAACAGCTTTTCAAGAGGAAACCAAATAAGTATCAAAGACACTTAGGGGAAAATATTCTCAGCATTGAAGAAAGCTGTCAAAACATAAAGGGGAAAAGCTGGTTACCCGCTCAACGGCTGAGCCCAAGGAGCAAATTGTTGTTCTTAGGCAGGTACTGAATGTTAGGGCTCTTAGCCAAGGTGCTAGCAATCTCCTTTGAGGCTTCAATCCTTCTGAGCTCAATTAAACCCGTGCCAGCGGCGGCAGTAGCATCTGAAATCAGCTTTGCAGACTCACTCTCGCCCTCGGCCCGGACAATAGCAGCCCTGCGCTCCTGTTCCGCCTTCATAACAACGAACTTGGACCGCTCGGCCTCCTGCTGTGCCACCTGTTTCTGCTCCACGGCCTTAGAGAACTCCGGGCCATACGACAAGTGGGTTATGGCGACATCGTCCAATCGAATGTTGAAGTCCTTGGCCCTGTGAGTCAAGCTCTCCCGAACCAGGGCAGAAACCTGGGGACGCTCGGTGAGGAGCTGGTCGGCATTGAACTGGGCCACCACAGCTTTCAGGATCTCGTTTCCGATGGAAGGGAGAACCTTGTCGTCATACTCCAGGCCAAGGTTCTTGAAAATGTGGGGGAGGCGGGAGACCTCGGGGCGGGAGAGGACCCGGAGAGTGAGGTTCACCATCTGCAGATCCTTGGTCCCGGAGACGGAGGAGAAGGTGTGAGGCCTGGTGCGGACGTCAAAGACGATCGGCTTCTGGAGCCACGGCACCCGGAAATGAGTCCCCTCGCCGGTGGTCTGGTCGATCACTCCGCGGACCCGGTCGAAAATCACGGCGCGCTGGCCGCCATCGACGGTGTACATCGAGGAGCCGAGCAGCGTCGCGCCCACTCCGAGACCGAAGGCGGCGCGGCCAAGGCTTGTCAGTAGGGAAACCGCTTGTTGGCTAGCCATAGATAGCAATGGAGAAGGGGAATGGGGAGGAGCTAGGGTTGGGGTGGAAGGCTGAGTTGGGGGTTATACGAAGAAGAAAAGGGACGGTTGAATTGCTCTGCAAGAAAGCCTCAACTCCCTGTACGGCTATACCCTCCTAGAAGAGTACAAATCATATTTTTACATTCATTTTTATTTATATCCTATGTTATTTTGGGAGCGCCACCATGTCATCCCATGACATTGGTTTCCAATGTCATGAGAACCAAGGTGCCTAACAATTATTGCAATCGATTCTTAATGAATACGGCGTATTGTTATTCTTGAAACACTCAAACAAATATTAGTTTTAATACTGTATTAAAATATGAGATTTAGGAAAGTATGACTAACATGGTAACTTTATAATGTCGTGCAGTATATTTAAATTTGTTCGACGTCTTTATCTATAGTTTTAGTTTAAAATTAAAATGAGAATTAAAATCTGATGCTCGTCATAAATGACTACCCGCCCAAGTGGGAGAATGTAAAACAAGATTTGTATTATACGGTCTAAATTACTATTTATCTAATCAATTAATTAATCATTGCCCTTATAAATATCCTGTGTGTTTAATTAATCATTATTTGATAGACGTAATTATCCTTACGATTTAATTAGAATTTCCCTTGGGCGTATACATATATAAAAAGATTATTATTCAAATGCGTGCTCTAACTCACAAATGGAAACCTTGGAGGAGCATTATGTGATGCTGAAGCAAGGGCAGAGGATCTTAGTTGTTTTTCTCCTCTTGTTGTATACGATTGATCTTTACCTTTAGGATATGTCCTTCTTGAACGTGTAGTTTTTTATTTTTTTAACTTGAATTTTAATGAATGATACGACATAAACAGAGAATGATAAGTAAAATTCATGTATACAAAAATTGAAAAAAACATATAAATATATTAATTAAATCCAAATTTTTTGGAAAACTTCAGTGTAAACAACATTTTTGGTGCAATTGCAAGAGTTACTGTTGTCATCTAAAATTAATACTTTCAATCCTTTCTTACTTTTCACTCGTGAAACTGCAACATAAAGTTGACTGTAAGTGAATACCGATTTAAAGTAAAGAATAATCCAACAAATGATAATGTTTGACCTTGACTCTTATTGATCATCATGGCAAAACATAAAGATACTGGAAATTGTCTTCTTTGAAACTTAAGCGGTAATCCAGGATCTGACGGTACCAAATTCATTCTTGGTACGTAAACTTTCTCACCGGCCCGAACCTTACCCCACCAAATTCGGTGGTCTCTTGATCGCGACAAAAATGCACATACTCCAATGAAAAAGAAATTGTTATGCATCACAGTGAAAAGTCAGATGAAATTATTTTTCTAAAGACATGATAATACACACACACACACATATATACATACATACATATATATATATGTGTGTGTGTGTGTGTGTACATATACATACATATATATATATATATATACATATACATACATATGTATATATATACATATGTATATATATACATATACATACATATATATATACATATACATACATATGTATATATATACATATACATACATATGTGTATATGTGTGTGTGTGTGTGTATACATATATGTGTGTATATATATACATATATGTGTGTTTATATAGACATATATATGTGTATATATAGACATATATATGTGTATATATAGACATATATATGTGTATATATACACACATATATGTGTATATATACATATATATATGTCTATATATACACATATATGTGTGTATATATAGACATATATATGTGTATATATATGTGTGTGTGTGTCTATATGTGTTTGTTTGTGTGTGTGTGTGTGTGTGTGTGTATATATATATATATATGTCACCAAGAAGCACCATCCCCCCGCCAGGGATCATTCCCCCAAGCTGTTGGGTCACCATACCGGCTCCTAAGGTCGGTATTTGCTGGATGGGCTGTCGGAGGCCCTCTTCGCATGTCGTTTGCCACCTTGGAATGCGATGACGGAGGTCAGTGGTGTGTTGGCTAGTGACATCTTAAAGATGATGTCCAGGTTGTCTTGTCATGTGTTAGTAGGTGCCTGTCATTTTGATGCATCCGCCATTGGGGATATCAGATGACCTTGTGACTCTTGTTGAAGCAACCATTTTCAAAAGAGCACGCTTGATGTATTCAGAACTCTCATTGAAAGCACCAATGATGAGTTTTAGAACCCGGCATCTAAGAGACTAGGTAGAAGAGTTTTGAACTAGGCTTGAGTGCCTTTAGATTGCAAGAGTAAGTATATTTTCCTGGTAGTGAATGTGAACGTGTCTTCCCTACTTCAGGGGAAGGGTATTTGTACAATATATCTTTCTCCATGCTTGTGTTTCCTAGTCGTTTGTCTAGGACATGACCTTGCATTGTGGCCTGGGCCCACAGGGATCATGCCTTTTGAAGGGGCGTGGGAAATCATTTGGTAGAAAACCTGGGGGTGGCAGTCTGGTGGTAGATCAAAATTCCCCACAAAAGACTTTATAGATGTCTCTAGGGCAATTCCCCTTCAATTTTCCCATAAATGCATAATTGCATGTAAACCTAGCCCTCTTCATAACAGGTTGTAGCCCGGGCAGTTTGTTGAGTGATCTTAGTCCGCTACTCAGCCATTTCCCTTTTTAAAACGTCAATCCTTTCCCAAAGCTGAGGAGTAGAGCCTAGCTCCCCTTCCAAAGAAGTCACCTTTCCATGGAACTCACCTATCGGGGTCTTCATTGTGGATAATTTCCCAAGGATGAGCTGCTTGTATTCCATATGGCAGATTTTGGCTTGGAGTTCTAGAGTATAATCTCGCTTTGCTTCATGCAGCTCTTTCTCCAGTTTGGATACCTTCATGTTCTTCTCCTCAACAGTGACTACCTAGGCCCTGGAGAGCCCCCAGGATTCCCAAAGTTGGTTTTCCTTCTCATCCAAGCCAAACGTAGGGCAGTATTCTCTGATTCCAAGTTGGTCAGGGTAGAGTTGAGCTTTTGGAACTTAGCTTCCAGGCTCTTAGTTTGTTCAGCCAAGGTGGAAACTTGTTTTTCTAGGGTCTCCACCCGAGACTCTTTGGTTTTCAGCACTTGCCGCACATCATATACACGCTGAGGATCTTGAAGTAGCTACCGTGGCTTGTGAGGACTCTTCTAAACCATGCAGCCACTCAACCTCTTTTTGAGCTTCCTCAAATTCACACTTTAATACTCCTGACCTCAAGTCAACTTTTTATTCAGCTCTCAAAGGCAGTCAATTTCTTCCTGGGATTGAAGGGGGGCCTTGTTCCACTCTTGGGCCACTTTGAGTTGGGCATGGGAAGCCCAGACTTGTCCAAGGCCCTGATGGAACCGTTTTTCTCCCATATAAGGGCTAACTAAGGCCTGGGCATTCCAGTAGGATGTGCCCATGTATTTCTTGGCCATCCTAAGGATGACGACGTTGGTCTCTACAAGAAGCAAGAATAAGAGGAGACTTATAACAGGAGATAAAGGAGAAAATCTTGGATTAGAATAAGAAAAGACTTACCTGCTCCATGAAGCCAAGAGTACTCAAGGTAATCATATCAAGAAAGTGGAAGATATTGTTGAAGATGGAACCCTTAGCCAAATCCCTCATCTTGTCAACAACCTTTTTTTGCCTCGAAGTGGGCACCATTTAAGGTGGATAGTCCACCTTCAAAGGAGCCCCAGTTCTGTCCGATTTGAGCCCAGGCTTCTATAGAAAATCTATTACCTTATAGGGGGAAGAAGTGGCATCCTAGAGGACGATGATAATTCGGCATTCGCCGAGTTCTTTCTAGGAGCAGATGAGTCTCTCGCAACATTAGAAGGTCTAGGAGAAGTGAGATTCTCTTTAAGCTTAGTGCCCTTACCGGCCGGAGATGGGGGAGATTTGGTGGAACCAAGGGATTGACTAAGGTTCACCATCCCAGGGCTACAGCCTCACTTCGCAGCCTTGCACCAGGACCCGTCGTCCTTTGGAGAGGAAGGAGCAATCATAGAGTCAGTATAGGGCCCTTGGATTGGGCGTCTTCTAAAGGGACACCACCGGGAGAACTAATCTCATACGACAAGATCACTTGGCCCCTCCTCTTAAGGGAGTGATCCTATTGGTGGAAATCCAGACTATCCTCTAAACCTGGAGAAGTAGGAGATGGAGTGGGTTGAGAACCAGAGGAAGATTTATCCTTTGTTCCCTTCGCCATTTTCCGCTGAAGCAGAGCGACATGGGTGAAATGCTTATGTTTTTGGTTACTGGAGGGCTTCTATAGGACCAAACCAGGGACCTTGGAATTAGAGCACTTGGAGCCCCACTAGGATCACATGCATCTTTGGTAGCAACGATGAGCTCTTTCACTTTCTCCCCCGTGGAAGGGGAATGTTTGGAGTCCCCTGCCTCTATACTGAGAGTGGAAGCCTGTTTCATCTTGAGGCGGGGCACAAAAATGTTGTTCCCAACGAAAAAGAAGTCAGCCAGCTTAAACAGCTTATCCGTATGCAGATCCTCGATCATGGTTGATTAAATTTTCCCCTTTCGTTTCTTTGATCGAAGGCCTTCTCAACCAAAGAAGATTTTGAAAAAGGAGTTCAAATCAGATTGGAGCGAAGCACCATAGAGGGAAGGTCCAAGGGATGTGCTCAGGGAGTTATATGACAGAGAACTTTCTCGTTCTTTTTTATATCTTGCCCTTCGTCCTAAAATGTTCTCGTTTTTGTTTATGAGGTTTGACCAACTTTATTTTCTATTCAATTTATCTGATTGTAAGGGTAAAATATAAAAATAAAATTTATATTTTAAAAAACTGCATCTAAAGTTCTATAAAATAAGAGGTGACAAAACTATATTATTTTATATAATTATATAGTGCTCCCTCTGTCTCTGAGTATTTGTTCATTTTTTACTTTTTTTGGTCAAAATTGTTAAACTTTGACTGCAAATTAAATAAGAATGACATTAGACATTGATACAAAAATAGATTTATTAGATTTATTATATCAAATTTTTCAAAAAATTATTTTATCTAATTAATATACAATATTATTTTATTTAATTATAGTCAAATGTTAAAAATAGTTGACCAAAAAAGTCAAAACAGGATAAATAGTTAGGGACAGAGATAATATAACGTACATTTTGGAGCCTTACCATTCATTTCTATTTTATCTTCCAAATTTGACGGTCGGGGAAAGATATTAAAAATGCTGAGAATTTAGTGCCCTTGGACACTATTTGTAAAAAAAATGCTAAGGATACACCAAATGGTGTATTTTATTTGTACCCCACTCCATCCTCACCATACAAAAGTAAGTGAGAGAAAAATTAAAAATAAAAAAGAAATGAAAGGTAAAGATGTAGGGTGTATGAATGGGGTACCCCATTTGGTGTACCCCATTCTTCTTATTGTAAAAGATAAGAAATACTTTTCTATCACTTTTACAGGAGTCTCGAATAAGGCTATTAACAGCAAATCCATCGGCGAATCTCCTCCGCCGTTCGCCAGGTGAATTTTTTTATAACCTCTTTTATGAAGGGTAATTCGTTTATTCATTCATTGCTTCATTATGAAATGTATAGGGGGAGTATTTATAACCTCTTTCAAAGCAACAATCTTAACACAACAAACTTAATTACTTACTCCGTATGTAACTAACTCTCAATTACCCTGTATCAGTAAAGAAGATTCAAAGTGAAATTGTGAATTTAGGTTTTGGAAATAATAAACTCTGGACTCATCTGAATCAATATATCCTCATTTTACTCTTGAGAACTACTAAACCTCAATCTTCTCCATCTTTCAATCCAAAATGCCAATATTTTAGCTAATACTCGAGGCTCTATAACTAACTATTTTACATCTATCATTTTAAGAAAACTACTGCTCTTGATTTCTTCATTAGTGGATCACAGAATTTTAGATGTCCTTGAAGTCAATAAGTTTCTTCTCCTTGTCATAGTTAAACAGCACAATCATTTGGTAATAATAAAGCATCACCAGCAACATGGGGTTACATGGGTAATGAATGTCTAAAATGGAAGAACTAAGATGATATACATGAGTTCATACAATACTAAATTAAAAAAATCTAAGATGTATGTCATGAGGTCTAGAGCCCACCCATAGTGTTTTTATCAATTGTAGGTAAAATATTCGGAAATATAGCTTAAGATGTTGCTCTCTCCGGTCCCAAAACTTGAAAGCACAATCTTTAACAATTAACATAAAAAGTTAACATTTAAATAAATAATAAAACAATAACTCGATCCATGCTACAATTTCATATCTTAGTTGCTTAATTCACATTGTTTTATTATACCAAGCAAAAAAAGTTAAACCAACTTTTTGGTTTCTGTCAAGTTAAAAATATCATCTCAAAAACAAATTGGATGAACTCAAACTGTGGAAGTCTATAAAACCAGAAAGTAATGAAGTCATATTATTTCATGGTAAGTGTTTAAATTTGTTTGAATATAAGCTCTTAAGTTTACCCAAAATTTAAACCAAATAAGCCTATTTTTTAAAATTAAGTTTCTTGATTCAATCATATTCAATCTATAAATCAAGAATTGAACCATAAAAATATTTAGGTGAAGAGATTAAATAGAGAAATAGAGGTGTAAGTGTGTAAGTACCGAAAGAGCCACAATTACACTGCATTAGTTGTCCTCCACAATCTTTTCCGTTACCCTTAAAACAATCTTCTAAAGTTAGGATGGTTGATTATGATATTCTAGTTATTAATATTTTGAGATTATAATCACTTACTTAACATCAAGCAAATTCTGCAAGTCATAACCCAAAAATTAGCCCGAAATATTAAAATAAATTCTTAAACTTAGGGGGATGTATTCAATCAGGATTTTGATGGATTGTTTTGGATTCGGAAATTTCGTAGGTATTCAATTTAGATTTTAAAAAGTCATTTAAAATCTGAATGTATTTAATTCAGATTTTAAAAAATCTTTCTAAATCTAATGGTATTCAAAATTTGATAGATTCTTAAAGATTGTAAAAAATGTGGATTTTGATGGATTTTTATTTGTTGGGTAAAAATACAAATCCACCCTTAAAATCTCACCAGAAAAGTAAAGATTTTGACAACTCCATGGATCTTCTCCTCTGGTCGCCAATCTTCTTCATCTTCTTCCAGTCGATCGTCTCCTCTTGTCGCCATCTCTTCTTCATCTTTTTCCAATCGGGCGTCTTCTTCATCTTCTTCCAATCGCTCATCTCCTTTGGTCACCATCTCTTCCAAATTCGTTGCTACTCTTGCTGAATTGAAGGCCGATTATTGAGGAATTATGAGCGATCTGGTAAGCCTCTTCTGATTCTGAAATTGGAGTCCCGATTATAGTTAATTAAGGTAACGAATTAGGCAAAAGGGAAGTTTGTTGCACTGTTCACATTGCGATTTGAGCTCTCTGAGATGGTTCAGATTCCTGCTTGTTCTTTATCAATTTTGTTCGTAAACTCTTGGTGTTTTGAAAATATATCTCATGGCTAGTATTGGATTTCTGATTTGATAATATTGTGATGAAGTCTTTCAATTCTTGGTAATTGGTCATCTTCTTTAACCTGGGTTCCTGGCTATGTGTGACTGGCATGTTGCTCTTCCTTTTGGTGGTTTGTTTGTGGATTATTGGTGAATGTTTTGTGTTCTTTTGGCATGATAATGGGTTGGAATGGCTGAGACAATATGGCCAGGGTCAAGCACCAACAATTCACCTTTCACTTAGGATTGGTTCTTGCTTTCACTGACACTTTTTTCGATTTTGCTGTTGGCGAATTGTTGTTTTGAGGACTTGAGAGAGTTGCTGGAATTTTGGGGTCAAAGAAGGAAGATGAAGGGCAGTGGCAGCCCTAGGAAGATGAACGGCAAATAGAAGAAAGATGAAGGGCAGTGGCAGCCCTAGGAAGATGAAGGGCAAAGAAGGAAGATGAAGGGCAACCTTGAACAACTCTTGCTAGAAGGAAGATGAAGGACAAGTTGGAGCTGTTTTAGTATTGGAGGTTTCCAACATGTGCAATGTATAGATTTTAAAAAATAATTCATTTTTATGTGTAAATAATCCATGAATTATAAACAATCAAATAGAATCATACAAAATCCTATTGATAAAATACATTAAAATCTACTTAACTCTATATAGATTTAAAATAATCCATGGATTTTACAGAATCTATGGATTCTAAATAATCTAAAAAATCCATTAGAATCCCGATTGAATACACCCCCCTTAGTTTGAATATTACCTCTAAACTTTACCTTAAATTTGAAAGGAATAAAGCTGATATTTTAGAATTCCAATTTTTCTTATTGAAAAGCATAAATGCAGTTTAACAAAATTTGAATTATTAAAATTTATGATTGAAGTTAAACAGAACAATAGAGGCACACGTACCCCAAGTTGTAATCGTTGTGCGGCAAATCGTTGGAAATCACCTAACCATAGGTGAGCAATAGTGCAGTGAGTTGTTGTTCTTCGGTGACCTAAAATGAATAAAAAAGAAAATAATAATTGTGAATGGCAAATAGAGTTAATCAAAAGTGGGTTTTGTTCTCTCTATGGTTATACTTGCATTTATTTAAGCCTCAATCTAATCTAGAGGCACACGTACCACGAGTTGTAATCGATGTCTGACACAGTGTTGGTAATCACCTAACCGCAGGTGAGCAACAGTGCAGTGAAATGTTGTTCTTCGGTGACCTAAAATGAATAAAAAAGAAAATAAAAATTTTGAGCATCAAATAGAGTTAATCAAAAGTGGGTTTTGTTCTCTCTATGGTTATACTTGCATTTATTTAAGTCCCAATCTAATCTAAGTGCATACAAAGCAAAAAGGAACTCGCTCAATCTAGTTATATACATAACATCAAACCATGGGATGTAGACAATTTTGAGGTGTTTCTTTTACATCCCGTGGCTCTTGGAGCATGATTTACTTTCTCAGGCGTAGTTTGTTTTTACCTCTGTGCGTGTACAAACTTCCTTTCAATTGTTTGCTTGAATGGAATTAGTCATCATATAGTTCAAGATATGATGGCTTCATTTAAATGAAGAGACATCTGTGTAAGATATATTTATGCTACCAATCACATAAACCTGTAAATGTCATGTCATTATATTTTTTAAAAAAATGATATCCTTTATATAAATAGATAGATTAAAGTATGATTTTGATCTATAAGTTCGAATTCATCTTTATTTCTATCCAAATTCTTTGACAAAAATATAAAAGAACAATTTTTTTAACTCCTAAGAGAAAAAAGTAGCAGAAGATGTCTGATACATTCAAAGAAGTATTTTTAAAAATTATTGAATACATGTGTACAATCAATAGAAAACATTTTCTACTGTAAACCTAAGTGAGAAAGGTAAAAACTTACTCATGTCAAGTTTGATTTTTTGGCCAGTGTGTGTCCAGTTTTCTAATCAATTGCAGGCTTGAACAGATTTGGTCATCAAACAGTTCAAAAAATGTTGCCTACATTTAGATGAAGAGACATATGTAATATATATATATATATATATATATATATATATATATATATATATATATATATATATATATATATATATATATATATATATATATATATATATATATATATATGGGATTGACTCCAGTGAGGTGACACCTTATGGTGCGATGACATGCTTCGGTCAGATGACGCAAAGCTCACCACTGCCCACTGCAAAGCTCACCAAGCACAACTACAAAGCTCACCAAACTGTAAGGCAAAGCTCACCATATTTTTTTTACCACTTTGAATTTTTTTAAAAAAATAAATCAAAGGAAGGGGTGCTGACTAGACTTTGATCGTTGACTCCAGCATTGACCGCCGCCTGCCGCCGCCGCCAGTCGCCGGTTGCCGCCGGTCTCCGGTCGCCGCCGGTCTCTGCTCTGAATTGGTGTTTAGGTACGGAGAGCCTATTTCATACCAAATTAGTCCAACCAGGGGCACCACACGCCCCAATTAACCAACTGTAACCAGCCTAACCATTCACCAATGGCATACCAACAAATCTCTCCTTGCTTTTGATCATTTGCTTTCAATAATAAAGAGTCAAGCTTGGGCGTATAATATTATAATCCTAGAAACTAGTATCTTTCAAGGATCTAGCATATGTATCCATTTAGCCAAAGATTATCTTTTCATTAGCAATATCCCAATTCAATTTCATCACAGAAGCTCTATTCCATGAAACTAAGTTCTTAATTCTCAGCCCACCTCCTTTCTTAGACTCAGAAGTACCACTCCACATAAAATTTCTACAAATAGCTTGAATTCTTTTTATGACTTGAGTAGGGAAAATAAAAATTCTGGCCCAAAAAGTTATCCCCATCAAGACAGTTTTTGATAAGATTGACCCTACCATCATACAAAAGGTGTTTGGAGCTGCAGCCAGTAATCATAGCTGTAGTTTTATCCACCAATAGATCACAATCAGCTACACTAATCCTACCGGCAGTAATGGGATTCCCCTTGTCAAATCCCTTTCCCTCTTCTAAAGAAACATTTATTATCGCCATTGATATTGACAACGTAAGAAGTAGAAGAAACTTAGAACATGATCTAGCCAATGAACTGTTTGGGGAAGTTAAGGAAATTCAAGATCTGATCAAGGCATGCCAGCTAATAGTCATAAGCCTTTGTGGTATCAAGCATCTACAGACTCTGTTTTCCTAGTATAACACCTGTCAATTTCTTGACCCAGTAACACATTGTGTAGAAGTTTCCTCCCCTCCACAAAGGCCCCTTGATTGCTATCAACAATATAAGGAAGTACACCTTTTAGTCTGCTGCAAATAGGTTTAGAAATAGATTTATAAACTACACTACAGCATGTTATAGTTCTCTACTCCATATGGGTAAGGGGCTTAATGACTTTAGGAACAACAGTAATTTTAGTACTGTTAATTTGTTTATGCGTAGTGCCATTTTTGAAGAAATCCAAAATAGCTTCACACACCAAAGTGCCAACCATTTGTCATTGGTACTTGAAAAACCCACTATTATACCCATCAGGCCTGGGCTCTTAGTATTTGGAATATGAAAAAAATCACCTTTAGAATATGCTTACAGTTAAAAGGCTCAATCAGCTTGACTTGTTGATCAATATTCAGAAGGACCCCAAACTGGACAATTTCCTTAAGTTCCTTGTACCAAGAAGGCAATATGGTTTTGATAGTAATCTACAAATTCCAAAGCCACTTCATTAGGATCAGTAACAAACTCGCCTTTTATTGTCCTTAACTGAAATGATATAATTTCGCAAGTTCCTCTACTTCATCCAAGCATAAAAGATTCTGGAGTTCTAATCACCTTCAACTAATCAATCCATTTTTTACAGCTGTATTTTTCTAATCAATGATATTTTAAGTTGGAGATGTAGCTCTCTAAGGATATATTTTTCCCTTAGATATAAAAGACTGATTATTAAAGTTTGAGGTATACCAAATTAGAAATAATTTTGGTCAAACATCGTAATCCAAAGTGTCAAAGGTTAATTAAAAATTACTCGCAGATTTTTTTAGAAGAAAGAAAAGTTGTTAGGTTCCCAATGGAAAAGCAAAGAGATTGAAACAAAAGAGACGCAACCATGTTGTTAGGAGAAGCAACTTTTCTTATTTTGAACCCCAAAATCCAAACGAAGTCTACAGAAGCAACCACCCATCCCTTTTCAGCTTTGTATCCCTCCACTAGTCTTGCTCGTTGAAGCTAAGTTTGCTATACCGATTTCGGGTTATGCTTTGCCTGAACTTCCATTGAATTTCCCGAAAAATGTATACGCCTGAGACGTAATGTACTTTTATAAGTGGTTTTGCTTTCATGACTTTGCTTAAGTCGTCATAGAAAGCCCCGAACTAAACCGTATCCCAATTGCAGCCGCCCATTTCGATTGGCATCTTCTTGTGTTGATCTGGTACATTCAGATCTGCATAAGTAACAACAATGAGACAGATAAATGAGACATGCATTACTATCATACCTAAAGTGCCTAATTCAAATGTTCCTTCAGACTTTAGACTCATTTCATGCTGTAACACTATCTACAAAGTAATCTCTAAACTAATTTGTGTGAGGTCAAAAGAAGTGTTGCCTCAGATTGTTGATCTTAACCAGGCTGCATTTATCAAAGGGAGAGAGCTTGTGCACAATGTATTACTCTGTCAGGAGTTAGCTAAAGGATACAAAAGGAAGGGTGTATCCCCAAGATGTATGATTAAATTGGATATCCAAAAGGCATATGATTCGATCAGCTGGAAAGCCATCAGGAATATACTTCATAGCCTAAAATTTCATCTGAAGTTCATCAGTTGGATTATGTTCTGTATCTCCACCCCAACCTATACTATAAAAGTCAATGGTGAATGTAGGGAAGGGGCTGAGACAAGGAGACCCAATATCACCCCTGATCTTTGTATTAGTAATGGAAGACCTCACAAGGGGTGAAATGAGAAAGTGTCTTTATGTGCAGCCTCTTTAAAGCACCTTGTGAGGTATTCCATTACTAATTTAAAGTTCAGGGGTGATATTGGGTCTCCTTGTCTCAACCCCTTCCCTCCTCCCATGGTATTCACCATTGACTCTTATAGTATAGGTTGGGGTGGAGATACAGAACATAATCCAACTGATGAACTTCACAGGAAATTTTAGGCTATAGCTGATCGAATCATATGCCTTTTGGATATCCAATTTCATCATACATCTTGGGAATACACCCTTCCTTTTGTATCCTTTAGCTAACTCCTGACAGAGTAATACATTGTGCACAAGCTCTCTCCCTTTGATAAATGCAGCCTGGTTAAGATCAGCAATCTGAGGCAACACTTCTTTTGCCCTCACACAAATCAGTTTAGAGATTACTTTGTAGATAGTGTTACAGCATGAAATGGGTCTAAAGTCTGAAGGAACATTTGGATTTTGGGGTTCAAAATAAGAAAAGTTGTTTTTCCTAACAACATGGTTGCGTCTCTTTTGTTTCAATCTCCTTGCTTTCCCATTGGGAACCTAACAACTTTCTTTCTACTAAAAAAATCTGCGAGTAATTTTTAATTAACCTTTGACACTTTGAATTACGATGTTTGACTAAAATTATTTCTAATTTGGTATACCTCAAAATTAGTGTAGAGAAATTATGTATATGATGGATCAATCGCCAATCTGAGTGCTCAACCAAAATTTAGAGTGCCGGTTGAATCTGAAATTTCAATACAATCTAAGGAGAAGCAACAAAATAATGATGATGCTGGATTTACATAAAAATGGAAGCTAGTAGATCGAAATCGAAATCACACTACTGTACATACCTGCATGTGAAATAAATGGAAATAAACCGGCTAAGCTCACTGAGGAGGATGTTATCTCAACAGACACAGGTATTAGAATAATATGATTATAGACAATTAATGGACTTAACCCTCCTTCTGAGGTGGGTCAAGGATTTGTGATGGGGATATGGGAGAAATTTGATATAGTGTCTGTTACTTAAAGAGAGTCAATATGTGATTATATTTGATAAAATTGAAGATAAGGAAGAGGTCCTTAAGAGAAGGTACTTCTACTTTGATAACAAACCTGTTTATGTGTTCAAACCTGGAGACCAGGGTGTAAGGTGACTATTGATGATTTAAATTGTAGCATATGAAATTATACTTCATCCATGCCAATGTGTCCATGTACTTTGATTTTTTCAAGCCAAAATGGACAAATTTTAATCATATATTACCCTTTATTTGTATAGTCTTATCCCACTAAGACTCTGTTCTTTTGGATTGAAATTTTAGAGTTGGATATTGGAAAAACTAGAAGGTGTTGGAAGAATTTAAGTGCTAAAAAGGCATTCAATTAAAGAACAAAGCCTGAGTGGTGTACTATATGCTCATTAGTACAATAAAGTCATAGTTTGGAAGTTCATACTCCCTCCGTCCCATATCTTTCTTCGTAGAGCACTATTCCAACTTCACGGAAACTTTTATTTAGTTGTGTTTTTTCATGGCCTATATGATAAGAAGAAAAATAATTTTATCACCACTTGTTTTGTTGAACTTCTGATGTAGTTTTTAAATATGTAAATTTCATTTTTTATTTTTATACCAATATTTTAATAAAATAAATTGAAAAAAATTGGGATTTTCTTTGTTTAGCACAACGCAAAGAAAGATATGGGACAGAGGGAGTAACAAGATAAATCTAATAACCCATTTTTATACTTATATACATTACAATTTTTACTTCATTAAGTTTTAAAGTTCGTTTCCATATCTCTGACAAAGCCAATAATTCCCTATTTCTTTCTATGGGCTATGATGAAATAACACAAAATGGCTATTTAAACCGTATGCGGTTCTTTAATAGCGAAGTAGCAATTGGTCAATGCAACTTTCAACGCTCATCATGCGTCACATTGGAAAGAACCACTCTATGTTATGAACATTGAACTTATGGGTCAGATCGCGTACATCCGACCCCCCTACCCCGCAATGGATGCAAGCCTCTCAGGGGTAATAGTGGTGTTGTAAGATCCAAAGTTTGTCTGGTTTGACTCAATAGAGTCAAATTGGACGAATACACTAGGATAGAGATACTTCGACCCAATTTAAATTGCTTGTTTCAATTTAAAAACTACATCTAAAGTTTCAATTTAAAAACTACATCTAAAGTTCTATAAAACACAATGTTTGAAAAGGCGGAACGTAAACCCGCCTCAAGGCGCGTGATGAATCTTTTTCCGTATATTAACGCCATGGGGCCTATCCAGATTCACGCAATAAGCCGTTTTACGCAATTTGCTTAAATGTTTATGCCATGAGGTGTACGCACTAATGCGCAATGAGGCATACACCCGTCACCATCTTAAAATTAGAAAATCAAAGGTTAAAGTTGTCAATTACCCAATTTAAGTGTATATATTTTAACAAAAAATTACTGCTGGGTACCCTCGATTTTGTGATAAGAACTACCAGGTCCCATCATTTTTTTAAATATACTCCGAGGTACCTTAAATTATCCAAAAACTTACTAGGAGGTGACAATCCGTCCATTCCTCCGTTAGTTTCTATTTCTGTTATCTTTTTCTTCTTCTTTTATGTTTTTTTTCTTTCTTTCTTTCTCTTTTTCTTTCTTTTTCTTTTCTCTCTTTCCTATTCGTATTAGAGACCAGCCCTCCCCACCCCCACCCCCCACCCAAATCCCTCCCCCCCTTTTTTCTTCCTCTATTTTTTCTTTTCTTCTTCTTCTTTTATTATTATTATTATTATTACTATTATTATTATTATTACTATTATTATTATTATTACTACTACTATTAATTTTTATTTAGAAAAATAGCACTTATAATAAAAAACAATTATTATTAATACTATTATTTATTAAAACCAATTAATTAGTAATTTTACTACTTTACTCTTTTATAAAAAATAAAAATATTTATTAGTATTACTTTGTATTAATTATTACGGAGTATTTATTTTTTTTATTTTTCTTCTATTTTTTTAATTTATTATTATTATTAAAAGTTAATTAGTAGTTTTGTTACTACTATAATTAAAAACAATTACTAGTACTTTTACTATAATTTTTTGCCATTCCATGTTGTTTTTCACATTAGTCACGTACTGGTTAGCCGCCATAATAGTGGGTAATGTAGAAAATGAGAAGACTTGGGATAAGAATAAGACGGGTGCCTCTGGAATTTTTTTATAGATAATGTACAACGATAAAAATGATGTTAAATTTCATATTAATATAATGAATTAAGACGTACTCCGTATAATTTATAACCAAGGAAATAAATAATCTTTTTTATAAACTATCTTTTTTATAAACTATACATAAATATATTACTAAAATTAATTTTTAACTAAAGGTTTAAAATAATTTAACCTTTTTTATGCAAGTGAAAATTGGGAATTGGGAAAGGTCAATGTGGGTATACAATTGTTTTTTATGGGGTTTTAAGTTTAATTTACTAAAAAAAGTTAGAGTAGTGAAACTAATAACGACTAAGTAAAATGATAAAAATAAATAATCATAATTATTATAAAATATAATAAAATAATACAATAACTAATAATAAAATGATAATAACTAATAGTAGTAGTAGTAGTAGTAGTAGTAGTAATAATAATAATAATAATAATAATAATAATAAAAGAAGAAGAAGAAGAAAAGAAAAAATAGAGTAAGAAAAAAAGGGGGGAAGGGATTTGGGTTGGGGGGTGGGGGTGGGGAGGGCTGGTCTCTAATACGAATAGAAAAGAGAGAAAAGAAAAAGAAAGAAAAAGAGTACGAAAGAAAGAAAAAGAGTACGAAAGAAAGAAAAAACATAAAAGAAGAAGAAAAAGATAACAGAAATAGAAACTAACGGAGGAATGGACGGATTGTCACCTCCTGGTAAGTTTTTGGATAATTTAAGGTACCTCGGAGTATATTTAAAAAAATAATGGGACCTAGCAGTTCTTATCACAAAATCGAGAGTACCCGGTAGCAATTTTTTGATATTTTAAAATTACCTTGTCGATGACTGTAATTGCGACCCTAATCGTGTGATTACCAAACTACGATTCATGTTCTTCATAGCGTCGACCGTCTCTGCATCTCTCTATTTTCCGTCTCCATCACTATAGCAAGTACACTCCTTTTTCTTTTTTTCCCGGCAAAAGGTATACGAATGGAGGAGCTGGACCGATTTATAATTGAGACTGGTTTTTTCCGTCTCTGCTTTTGATGGCATACAGTTGTTCATCTCTTTTTTCTTTTTTTTGTTCTAATTGTTAATCTCCTTTGTTCTCTTTTTTGATAATTTGTGTGTTAACTGTTGTGTTTTTTTGTTTCTAAGATGAGTTGTTGCATACTGTTATATCGTTTATTTAGGTTTCTCAAGATATTGCTTAAATGTCGGACCCAGCATGAAAATATGGTGTTGACTTAACACCCAAAAACGAAGGACAAAAAAATTACAAATATGTTAACTTCAATTTTTGTAAAAAAGATATCCTAGGTGGGATTAGTCAATTTAAGCATCATCTTGCTGGTACAAAGAAAAATTCAGCACCTTGTACTAAGGTTCCTAATGAAGTTAAACAAGAGATGTTATCTACTTTGAATTTGGCCAAACAAACAAAGCAGGTGAACTTGAGAAATCAGGAGGAACTCATTGATAGTGGTGCTTACTAACAATATTATAGATATAGTTGCTGGTTCATCAAGCGGTGGTAGCAACTCCAATAGAGGAGTACGCAGTCCTATGGATAGATTTGTTGTGGATGTTAATCTTGATACTCCTGATAATATTCCAAACAAACCAATAGGCGAAAGGGGAGCTAGAGAGAGAGAGAGAGTTTGCCAAGATGTGGGAAGATTTTATATTGAGAACGGTATTCCATTTCATGTTGCAAATTCTCTATTCATAAACATGTGTCGTGCAATCGGAAATTTTGGCAGCAATTTTAAGCCACATACACCGTTCGAGTTGAGCCAGTGGATCTTGGATGAAGAGGTAAAAGCAACTCAAAAAATTGTTGATGGCGGGAAAAAGGCGTGGACACAAACCGGGGTGTCGGTACTTTCTGATGGATGGAAAGATACGCGAAGAAGGCAGTTAATAAATTTTCTTGTTAACAATCCTTATGGCACTATTTTCTTAAAAACATTTGATGCTTCTCGTCATGTAAAAGATGCAAATATATTGTGTAATCTATTTGATGAGGTTGTGGAAGAGGTAGATGAAGACATTGTGACCCAGATTGTTACTGATAACGCTTCGAATTATAAGGCTGCCGGTGAGATGTTATCTGAAAAACAAAATCGACTGTGGTGGACACCATGTGCAGCACACTATATTGATTTGATGCTAGAGGACATTGAGAAGCTTCCTCAACACGAGAATGCATTGGGGAAAGCGAAGAAGGCACTGCATTTCTTTATTTCACAGTTTATAATGTTTTTTCAACTAAGGATTCCATTACCTTCCCATTGTCCTATATTATATTTACAAAATGTCATAGGTGACTCATTACAAATATAACCACAGATGGGCATGGGCATTGACGCGAGAGTTCAAAAACGAGATCTTGTTCGTCCCGCGGCTACAAGGTTCGGTACGGCCTATCTTACACTTGAAAGTATGCTAAGAGTTAAATATAGGAAATGTGATAAACCTTGAGTCAAGTTGATTGAATTTAGAATGAAAAAGTGTACATCAAGTCCCAATTCGACGGACTGAAAATTTTAAGGGTATCTTAGTCATTTTATACTTAAAATTTTGCCAAATAAGGAAATGGGAACATTATTTGTGGACGGACTGAAAAGGAAAGTGGGAACTTTAAAGTTGGACGGAGGGAGTGTTTTTTGTGAAAACACCTATTTTCATAAATAATACAGTTGATTGGTGGACCCAATATAGAGATGAGACTCCTAAACTAATGACATGTGCGATCAGAATCTTAAGTCTTACATGTTCCTCATCTGCGTGAGAAAGAAATTGGAGCACATTTAATCAAGTAGAGATATCCACATAATATTCTTAAAAATTTACTTATTAGAATATATGACTCACTAATTTTTTTTGGTGATCCATCTACTTACACATATTTAATTTGTAGATCCATACGAAGAAGAGAAATCGCTCGCATACCAAGAATTTGAATAAAATGGTTTATGTGATGTACAACAAAAGACTGAAAAGTAAATGGATGAAGAAAGCATCACTGAAAGATGAGGAAGATCCATTGGTGATGGACTAAATTACCTCAGATGATGAGTGGATTGTTCATGAAGATGATATGGTTGTCAAGAGTGATGATGTTAATGGTGATGGTCATGAAGTAGCCAACCAAAGTAGCCAAGGAAGA